CCTTTGTCTAAAACGATACCTTTCCGCTAACGCGGATGGTGCCGGCTGTAAGTGGTTGCGCAATAGACTAACGGCGGCGTCGTATTTTAATTCCGACGGATTCACGGGGCTAGCCAGGTTCACTAGCAACTCGTAGGCCTCATCGCCCATGACCGCTATTAGCGTGGGCAACTTGAGATCACTACTTATTTTATTTGCCGTAAAATACATCTCAAGTCTATCGACATACGACGACCACACCCCGGTTTTTACATCGAACTCGTTCACTTTTCCAATCGACATTGTCCTTGAATTAACTTGTAAACTTTTAGTCACAACGATTAAAAACACAATAAAACTACGTTTTTATCCTCGTCGCCAATGTAATGTATATAAAAGCCGGAGAGAACACAAAGAACGTAACGCAATCTATATCAGTTTATTCCATAATGAATTCCCTGTATTATCTTAATTTACCCGCCACCTATATATTCAGTCTTAACCTACTACCCTACATTACAGAAACTTCGAACATAGCCTTCTCCGTAACTTGCTAAACGACCTTGATCTTCCTTGAGGTTACCAACCTGCTTGCCACGTGTGGCAACAACGGCAAACATCCCCCTTATTATGTAAAAAATGCATTTACAGAATTAATATAATTCTAAAATACAAGAACTTTTGTCGGATGTAAGCACTTATAAAAACGACCCACCAAATAGCACACTAAAACAACTAGTGACATCATAAAGAAACACTCCGAAAAATTAAATCTGGACGTATAATGGATAATACCTACGTGCGCCAAATCACCAAAGTTGTATGTGTTACCAAAAATACACAAGTCCAATGTTCCATTACGTCCCATAGTGCGCCAAATCGATTCATCAACTTACAGACTGGCTCAACACTTAGCGAAAATACTCTTACCGCTCAGGGGACATACAAGAGCACACATAAAGGATTCCTACCATTTTGTCAGCGAGATTAAAGACCTACATCTGACAGACAATGAAACTATGGTCAGTTTTGATGTGTAGTCATTGTTTACATGCTTACCTGTTGAAGACACTGCCTTACATCTGGCTACCTATTGTGGAAGGAGGAGTTCTACAAGCAAGTAGATGGTGTGGCGATGAGCTCACCTATGGGAGATCCCATTGTCGCCGACATATTCATGGAAGACTTTGAGGAGAAAGCCCTGCTTAAATTATTAATAATTAAATCCAAGATTCTACAAGCGGTACGTAGACGACACTCACATTTCTACCTTTAGATAAAGTAACTGCATTTTTAGACCATCTTAACTCTATAAATTCCAAAATTCAGTACACAATGGAGTTCTTGAGAGAGGCAAACAATTCTTAAGCTTTTCTAGATGTGTTAGTAATTCGAAATCCTGATAAACCCTTGAGCTATTCTGTGTATAGAAAAAAGACCCATACAGACATTTAAACGGTGATTCTCTCCACCATCCTTCACAGTTAGCTACCGTGGGTAAATCTTTGTTTCGGAGAGCACGAGGGATCTGTGACAGTAAACACCTGGTCGCCGAGCTCCACCATGTCAAGCAAGTTTTGCATGACAACAAGCTTCGGGTCCCGCGCCTACGTCACAGTGAACGAGTGAAGCCGGCCACAGTCGAGCGTGTACCTGCTGTACTGCCATATGTTAGAGGAGTCACTGACAAAATTGGCTACATCTTGAAGCGCGCTTCCATCAAAACATACTTCAAGCCACCGAAGAAGATTGGTCAGTTTTTACCATCAGTCAAGTGTAACGTCCCTCTGCAAGATGCAGGAGTGTACAAGCTTGATTGTAAGTGTGGTCTCTCCTACATAGAACAAACTTAAAGATCAATTAAAACCCGCGTTAAAGAACATATAGCTGATGTGAAAAATCGACGCTCCGGGAAGTCTGCAGTCTGTGAACACGTACAGGATCGCCCCCATCATTACACCAGATTTGATAGACCACAAATCCTCGCTAAAGTACACCGATTCCTTCCAAGGATGATTCGCGAGGCTATTGACATCAAAAAACATCCTAATTTCAATAGAGAAGATGGCTAGGTGCTGCCATCTGCTTGGGATCCTATAATAAATAAAATTAAATCCCAACCCAAGCACACAACTGCAAAACTTCAAGATACCATAAGTTCATACTGTGTAGATCGGAACAAAAGTCAAACTTTTATCTATGGTAACCGCTGTTAACTACATATGACATTTGGACGTTGAACATCTCAGCCCCCCCCCCTCTGTGACCATGGGTGCTGTAAAGTGCTCGAAACGTCGGGTATTTATAGTTAAATATACGCGATAAAATCCGTAAAAACTAGTATTATTTCAATGTGTAGTGTTCGCGTAAATATAAGAAATCATTATGCATTTACAGAACTTGATCCCTTAAAGTATAGTTGAAGCGTGTGAACACTGACTGTCATGTTAGTGATTTCAAACATATATAACTTTTTTATAGAAGAGGGGGCAAACGTGCATGTGGATCACCTGATGTTAAGTGACTACCGCCGCCCATGATCAACCGCAACACCATGGGAATTGCAGGTGCGTTGCCGGCCCTTTAGAAAGGAGTAAGCTCTTTTCTTAAAGGTCCCTAGATTGTATCGGTCCGGAAAAATCGCCGGTGGCAAACTATTCCACAGAGAGGTCGTACGCGGAAGAAAACTCCTTTTAAAATACTTTTGATTTTGCTTTCTTGACACCGTACCGCAGGGAGTAGATCTGTATGAGAATTACATTTTCTAGTTTTAGTTTTTTATTATCTTCTTAAACAACTTATCCCCCACACTGGAAATTTGTCCTGTATCGTGGAGGCAGTTTATATATATAAATTGTAAAACGACAAACATCCAGACCCGGAACAGTTATTTGTAGGTCATACAAATATTGTTCACTGCGGGATTCGAACCCGCATCCCTCGGCGCCACATCATTGCTAAGCCACTGCGCCACTGAGCCGTCGTTTTACATTAATTTATTTTTACAGTTTTTTTTAATTCTTTATGTGGGTATTTAAATATTATGTACAAAATGTATGCACATTTGATAAAATATTGTGGTTAACGGACAGAACGAAATGGTAAGACTTGTATATCAGCAGGAACATAAAAATATATTTACGAGGGTTGAATGGCGCGGTTAACAACTGTCAGATTAAAAGGTTCTGTACGACCGTTTGTGTGATTCTATTTTCGTAAATATTTGAATGATAATTGGATATGAGCACCTGATTATTTCACATTTCGTGAAGAACCCGGGCTCCATCCCCGCTGAAACCAAATTAAATTATTAACTGCAATTATAATAACCAGTGTTTATTAGTAAACGATTATAACATAACTTAAACACTCACGCCTGTCACCCAGAGGGGTAGGCAGAGACTACGGACTTCCATTTGGCACGATCCTCGCATACCTCTTTCGCCTCCTTTACATCCATATATCTACGCATACATGCTCGTCGGTTAAGGGTACTTCTAACGTGGCCCATTTTCAAAATATCGCCAACTTGGTCGATAAACTTTTTTCTAGGGCGTCCCTTCCCGACTCTGCCGTTCACATCTGCCATATAAATTTGCTTTGTCACTCTTTCCTCATTCATTCTTTCTACATGACCAAACCAACGAAGCATTCCTTTCTTAATCCTGGTCACAACATCATCTTGCATACCACATTTATCTCTTATCACGCAATTTCTCACCTTGTCATTCAGATTAAACCCTAGCAGCTAGATGATTATATTAATAAGTAAACTATAGCTATTAGCTACAGCTGTAGTCTTTTTATGCTTCAATGAAATAGGTCGATTAAAGTATAATTTACCTAAATTTGTACGATTGTGTAACGGATAGATGTTTCTTTTGAACTAAGAGCAATAACTAGCTCACAATACTACGAATGGTAAGTGGATGCAATAAATATAGATACATGTGATGACTTAGAATACCTTGTTATCTGGTGGTATTCGTTACTTTTCAGTCCTCAGAGGTGACAGCGCATCTGCAGCTTTATTTCTTTGAAGTAGGGTGCTGGTGACCATGCGCTGCAGCCACTTAGAGGCCATTCATTAATTGCGTAAGGATGATTTTGGTGATTTTGACTCCCCTTACCCTTACCTTATGTAAGGGTACATAAGAGTTTTCGAACCCCTTCCCTCTTTTTACGTAAGATAATATCTCGTTTTTCAGAATAGTAAAATATTGTTAGAAAAGGATCAGAAACACTAATACTCACTGTTTGACGTAAATCAAAGATTTTTATATTTCAACAGATAATTTAGGTTGAACTCTTTTAACGCTACCAGATAGAGATTTCCGTTATATGTATAATTATTAGACATATAGTTGAGATAGTATCTAGTCTATGGGATATCATTATTATAATTAAAAAAGAGTTTTTAAATTATCTTAACGTGAGGAAACATAAATCAGTTAAACAATCTAAAAACGAATAATACTTATAAAATAATGATTGACTTATTTTACATTGATCTTCAACACAAAGAAAATAAATTAAACAGTAAAAGCTAAACCAATTCAGATCATCCATCATCTTCTGGACTAAATGGACTAGTAAACCACGTTGTCCAATCGGAAACAGTCGGTAACACATCAGATGCAGTGGTAGATGGAACTTCATTTCGACTTATCCGTAGAACAGAGTCCGATGTGATCATGGAACAAAAACGAGTTAAAGTGCTAGACGAGTTATTGAATACAAACTCTACAGACGTGTGTTTTTAGAATTTTCGTATCTTATTTAGTTTCGGAAATATAGAATCGAATAACGTTCGATCTGCCATAAGCTTCGCATAAAAATGCACGAAGTGATCAAGCGACGACGCGCGGGGAGCGGAAGAAGCGCGGGCGCCCCGTCCGTTCGTCATTCCGGCCGATGTTTGTTGGAGGAAGGGCGTTTTTGTATCACGCACTTAGCTTTTTTTCGTTTTGTAGAAAAAAATTATTTATCAAGTATTTTGCGTGAAAGACATATTTTTAGAGATGTCACGATCACGAAAAATATTGGACATGCTTATAGTCGATGGAGAAAAGCCTGAGCTTAATTCATCAATTTCTAATATTCCTGCTGTTTATACAAAGAAAAGTGTAAAAACTGGTAAGTTGACGATTTCAGTTGTATTATTTTGTGATACACTCTTTTAAGCTCTTAAATTAATAAATAATAAGTCTTTATTGCTTTTTTGTCTCAGTAAATAGTAGCGGGTGATCGATTTTTATATGGGACGTTTTTTGACGGAGATGTATATAAAGAAATTTTTAATACAAAAATACGATTACCGTATGTAATTACTAATTACTTTTACTGGGTAATCATTCTTTCTCTCATAATAAACAGTAAAAAGTAGAAGTCCTATGAAATATTAGGACGGATTTATACGAACATTATTGAATTTCTAAGCGTTTCATGTGAATATAAGACGTTTTTCTGCGGTATCTGTGTCATGATTTGTTGGCTCGATATTAAGATAGGACATTGTTATTGGAAAAATGAGATTAGTTAGGACGTTATTCATTCAAAAATATCGTTAAATATAAGGGTTTTTTTAGTAAAAATTTGTTAAATTAATTGCATTGTCTTGAAAAATATATAATATAAATAGTATTTAATCAATACCTAAAATAATATAGTTTTTTTTTAACTTCAGTTATGAATGTTGATGACAACGGCATGACACAACAAACATCACCTTTGCCTTCCGGTGCAGAAGAAATCAGTCAGAAACTAGCTGATGTATGGGAAGAAGTTCTGCATGAAGATGGTGGGCCCAATGAAATCACCTGCGACAGCTCAATACTGAATGTCATGTCTGATCCGTCTGCTAATGATGTTTACAGCAATCAACCCAGTACGTTTTCCTTGGAAGTGCCTTCTAGTTTCGAAAATTCACCATTAATACAGCTTGATGAGCTGTTAGAAGTTTCTGACCACAGTTCTACCCCGGTTAATTTAGAACTGTCGGTGCTTACTCCTATGCCGTCTCCTACTAATGTGCATTCGATCTGCGATAGCACATTTTGCCCTAATCATGTAGACAGTTCCTCTGTAATTTCTTCGTTGTCATTTAGCAACACGAATTCACCTGCTACTTCGCACTCAAACGATCGCACCGTGACTCCTAAAACGACTAGAAAACGACAGAGGTGCCCAAAAGAATGGACAGACTTTAAACGCAAATGTCTTAAGAACTTAGGTAGGAAATATGTAACGAAAAAGGGTAAAACCGTAGGCGATAAAACGATGGGGCCATCATGCAAATGCCGTTACAAATGCTCTAATAAAATATCTCACCAACAGCGGTTGGACTGCTTCACAAAATTTTGGCAACTGGGAGATCGAGCTATGCAGTGGAATTTCATTATCAAATATTCGGATAAAATGAAGAAGAAAAGATGTATGAATCAAGATATTCCTAATAATAGGAAACATACTTTTAAGTATTATCTGCCGCTGATTACAGGTTCTAGCGAATCTCACTGTAAGAAAGCTGAAGTATGCCAAACTATGTTTATTAATACTCTCGCCGTTTCAACTCGTATCTTAAAGACTGCGTGGAAGAAGTACGATGGAAGTGCTATTTTAGAGGAGGATAGACGGGGTCGCCACGACAATCATAAGATCGTTATAGATGACGCAATGAAACAAAGTATTTGTGACCATGTTAGGGCATTCGTCCCTGTTGAATCGCATTATATACGCAAGAATAGCCAAAAGCTCTACCTAAAAGGAGACTTAAGTATTGCCAAAATGTTCAAATTGTATCTTGAATGGTTTGACCCTGAAAAATACTCCTCTAAGGCTACAAAAGAACGCCAGTATCGTGATATTGTCAACTTAAACTTCAATCTAGCTTTCCATATTCCCAAAAAGGATCAGTGCAACGAATGTCACGTTTTCCGGTTGAAAAACAACCCAACGGACCAAGAAAAAGAATCTTTTCAACAGCACCAGATTAATAAAAAGGTCGCAAGGGATTTAAAGAGCCAAGATAAAAAAAACGCAGAAGAGTCATATGGAAAAATGGTTACTGCTGTATTTGATTTCGAAAAAAGTATTGCAGTGTCCTCATGGCAATATTAACATATTTTACTATAAGAGAAAGCTATCTTCTTTTAATTTCACAGTTTTTGACATGGGGAAAAGGAAAGCCATTTGCTATATGTGGGATGAATCTGTGGCAAAACGTGGCGCAAATGAGGTAAGCAGTTGCCTCTTAAATTTTATCCAGAGTAATGTTGACCAAGGAGCCAAAGAGTTTCGCTTTTGGTCAGACAATTGTGCTGGGCAAAATCGTAACCGCTTTGTATTTTAACTGTACGTTTACGCCGCAAAAATGTTCAACATATGCATAACACACCGGTTTTTAGAGAAGGGACATACCCAAAATGAGGGGGGATAGTGTCCACTCTATCATCGAGAGAGCTTCTCAAACCAAAACTATCTACACCCCTCATGAATGGCGTTTATTAGTAAGATGGGCCAAGAATAATGGAGAACCCTATGATGTCCGCAACGTAACCCAGAATGACGTGTTTGACTTTAAATGTCTTGTAAATAATAAGGTTTGGATGAAAGACATTAAGGGCAAGAAGATTAACTGGAGTAACATTCGAGAAGTTCATGCAGACGGTAGTGATCCAAACAAATTGTTTTTTAAATACGACCTGTCTGATTTTGATTATAATATTTTATTGATTCGCAGTAACACGAGAAACTCGGTACAAACTGAACTAAAACCTGCATATTCTGAGCCTATTATGGTTCCTGCTGCTAAATATAAAGACTTAATGGATATGTGCCGCTCAGAAGTAATTCCCTCAGAGTATCATCCATACTTTAACTCTTTGCCACATCACACCAACATTGATGATTCTGAAGAATCGGATGATAATCTATCGGAATAAGAAATATTTTAGATACACTATTTCCATTTTTTGCTGCTTCTTTTTCGAGCTGTATTATTCTTACTGAATTAACGAAACAATGTTAATTATAATAAGTATTTAACTAAGTAATTTAATATTTGTCTACGTACAATGTCATTGCTATTAAGTATGTGCACCCACGTCTAGGTCACGATGTAAGACTGATTTATAATATTATGCAGGCTGGTTGTAATATGATTTATTTTGAATTAAATAACTAGTTCGAAGTTTAAATATCTTCATATTCATATCATATATTTTTCATTGTTATGTTAATATTTACGTACATTTTATAAGTTTAAGACTGCTAGTTTAAGAGGAAATGCGGGTGGTTTCTCCATAGAAACGCTCTCCCTTGTTTTTTTTCTTAGTTTATGACAATATCTATTTTGAATAGTCTCTCCGCCTATATTTTCTCTTAAGTCCGTACATAGTCGTGTAGGTTACCTAGTTACCATGTTATGATACGATAAGCCATTTAATTACTACATTATGATTCAACTATTACGCCGAAAACGCAGTTTTAGGTATTTGTACAGTTTAATTGTTGTTATATACTATAATCTCGTCTAGGTCATGAAGGTCTAATAGGTAAAACTATAAAACGGAATGTTATTAAAAAACTATTGTGTTACTGTTGATTTTATCACTAACACAAAGTTTAAGGTTCTTCACGCGCGTATTCTGAATTGTTATATTACTGACATAGCTCTGTAGTTTATAATTTTATAAATTTTAAGTCCATACCTAACTGTGATATGATTGCTGTTGAAAGTGATATTCTATCTAATGATTCTGTTATCTATTTTGATTTTTTTTAATAAACGGTTTTAAATAATAATTTCACTTTTTATTTAGTTATATAGGAGGGTGGTCATAATAAGGCTAACATTATGTTTAAATATTTAAGGTGGATATTCACAAAGGACTCATAAGGGATGATTAATTCCAACAAAAAATGACCCATGTCAATATAGAACGCTACTTAATTCAGACGTCTCCGTAAAACAACGTATGATGTTCGATACGGACCCCGCTGTTTTGCGTATAAAACGTCCTATGTTGATATGGAACTCACTATCTCATGAAATAAAGGGATAATAAATATACACTACATATCATTAAACTAGGCTAGGGCATTGTTACAACATACCAAAAAATCTAAATGTTAAGTCACACCGTTAAAGAGTTGCACAAGTTAAAAACTTCTCCAGCCTCTACTGAAAACTATCAACCCTACAGATCGGACTTTATTCTACGGATGAGTCGATTTGGCAATTGAACTAGATTTCTTGTATTAAATTACGACTCACAAAATATTACGTAAGAATGGGTTACACCCCCTCCTCCCCAGAGACAAGGGCATGTATAGATTTTTAACCCTCCCCCTCTCCTCAATCTCGTGAACCTTACGTAATTAATGAATGGCTCCAAGTTGGTTGTAGGTGACCATGGGCTGCATCCACTTACCACCAGATGAACTGTAAGTTGTATATATAACCAGTAAAAGTTCTCCAGAACTCTACACTCACCATACGGATGACAGCAATACCATACTTGCGTTTTTTGCTAGTATGCTGCGACAGCGTGGTCATACCTCGGTTAGCCGACCTATTCATGTTATACCTTAATACACTTTGACGTGATTTTACGTTTGAAAAGTAATGAAATTCCTCCATTTTAAGGTTTTAGGGGTCAGCCGTTTAGAGGAAAAACATGTGTTGTATTGTCGACGGCGGTGTGTCTTTTCTAATGTAGTGGCGTTGGAATTAGTTGTGCTGGGATTAGTGGTGACGTGGATAGTACACGCAATTGAGGGAGGATGGAAAATGCTTTTTAAACTAGGTAGGACACACTACTTTATTCAGTTATGTGAAACTTAGCTAATCAAAATTTGACCTCTTTAGTATAAGGTATTTCCGATAAAATAATGCCTTAGTTAACATTTTAAGGACTCACGTAGTGTCTTTTGCCCTTTCTTTTTCTATAAAATGAACATTTTTTCGAAATTGTATTAGTAGATTTATAAAAATGACGTTTGCAAACAAAATTTTATTTTCGTTCGTTTTAAAATTTTAGCTCATAAGTTTTTGTTGCTAGCTGTGTTACGACACTCTCACTCCTTGTGACCTGAACACGCACTTCATTGTATTGTAATACGATTTGACGTCCCCCGACACCACAAACGTTTACATTCAAAGCGTGTTTATTTGCGAGCATTACCAAATATTTTCGTTTCCACTTTTGTTTCTGCGTCTGTCACGCGGGGGATATTATTTGGAGGGTGGAGGGTGGTGTTGGTGGATTGTTTGCACTGTGCAACTTGATACAGTTCGTTCAACGTTTCACTTATTTTCAATCTGCTGCAGACAGACCTGAGAACTAACTTTCAATATAAAGTAAGAGCTGACTTCAAGGAACTAAAAAGTATAAAATATTTCTACACGAGAGCTTCCAAATTATGCGCTAGGGCATGGTGTGTAGTGGAGTTAGAGCCCGGACATCAGAGGTTATTACGTGAAAAATATTTTATTATTTATATTTCTTTGAATTCATCTTTTAATTTTATCAAAAGTCGAATTTTTTTAACCTTTTTGAGTAGACTAAGGAATGTCACAAGCTCTAGTTAGCAAACTAGAATGGCATCTACATAGAAACATTAAAGAGTTCATCCCCTATTTGTTCAATTATTTCAAAATGTATATGCCGTTCAATTAAAAAAATAAATCAATAAATTAATCCTATACTTAAATTTAGCTCACCAATCACAAACACCGCATTCTTCTGAAATAATTTAATAAACAATAATCATATAAATCGGTTTACAGTTGACAAAATATATCGCGTGTACCTACAAAATATCATAAAGTTGTAAGCCCACTCCCTTTTTGGAAGTTGGACAGTAAGAAAGTAAATTTACAGTTCGTATTAATGACCCGCCCCGGCTTCGCACCAACAGAGTCCAACCATAGATAAACCATCCAGGTAGCCCCATAAGTACCCCATAATATAAGTGGTAGAGATACGTTGCAGCTATATTATGGTAGAAGCAAGAATGCTGCGACACATTCTTCATCGACTTGGGCAGAGTCACAAAACAACAGCTTGATTCTGCTGTACTTCGTACGGTGAGTGTTTACACTTAAGGTAATGAGGCATTCTGTTTTAGTCCTCAGAGGTACCAACGCATTTTGATTCTTAATCGAGGATCGATTTATATGTACGTGGGCCACAGCATCCACTTACTTATTTACTTATTCTAAAAAACATCTTTAAAATTGGCCATGCCGTAGGAGAAGAATTAGGACCACACGCACGCCCGAATTATATTGCTTCCTTACATATGAAATTAGTGCTTTTTCGTACTGACCACTTTGATCTGAAATATCTCCTCTTTGGTTAAGAATTCCAAATTCAAATTTATAAATTCATTTAGCTGGTACATTTGAGTTTAGAAAACAGCCATTCATTTGTTTTTTTTTTTCATTTTTTTTTGACATCGCTTATTACCACACAATGGAAACCATGAAATATCGGTATTTTTACGAGTACGAGTTCTACCGTGGCACCAATGCTGCAAAAATAGCTCGGAGGATTAATGATGTGTACGGCGCTGGTGTCGCAAAAGAAAGCAGGGTACGTTTTTGCTTTCAACGTTTTCGTTCTGGAAATTTTGACCTTCAGAACCAACCACATGGACGGCCGGAGAACAAAGTTGAAAATGAAGAATTAAAGTCTATTGTGGATGCGGTAACATCACAAAGCACATCATAGATAGCTGCAGGCTTCGGGGTAAGTGATAAAACTGTATTAATCCACTTGAAGCAAATCAGGAACGTAAAAAAACTTGAACGATGGGTACCTCATGAATTGAGTGAATCGAACTTGCGTCAACTGCTGTGTTACTTTGCTCAACCGACACAAAAATGAAGGGATCTTAAATCGAATCATTACTTGTGATGAAAAGTGGATACTGTACAATAATCGGAAGTGCTTTGCTTTGCAACACAAAGGCTGAACCCTCGACTCAGCTAAATCCTGCCCTAAACGAAAATCTTAGACTCAGAAAAAGTTACTTTTGAGTGTTTGGAGGACTAGCGCCGGTGTCGTTCACTACAGCTTTCTTAAATCTGGCCAAACGATTACGGCAGATATCTATTGTTAGCAATTGCAAACCATGAAGGAAAAACTAACTGCTATACAACCAAGATTGGTCAATCGCTCTAGGCCACTGTTGCTTCACGACAACGCAAGACCACACACTGCACACCAAACAACCACTAAGTTAGATGAGCTGCAATTGGAATGTCTGCGACATTCACCGTACTCCCCGGACATTGCTCGAACGGATTACCATTTTTTCCGGAATTTGGACATCTTCACACATGGAAAAAATTCAACTCCGATGCGGCAGTCCAAACCGCCTTCAAAGAGTTTATTGATTCTCGCCCCCATGGTCTTTTTAGTAAAGGGATCAATAAACTACCTATGAGATGGAAAAAGTGCATAGATAACAGCGGTGCATACTTTGATTAATAAAATATATTTACAAAAAAAATGAATTTATATTCCTCCCGTACAAAACGTCAATTTCATATGTAAGGACCGATTAAAAATAATTAAAAAGTGGTATTTCCTCATAGTAAAGGCGGGTTGTGACGAAATAATACAATAGACTAGTAGTGGGGTCCAGTTAGTCCGCTGTCTTCCTTGTTTGACTTACCATCAAGTGTATACTTGCAGCTCGTCTGTTACTCTTGTATTTTACATTTATAAACCTTTTCGTTGACTCATTTCAACTAATTATACCTTCAAGTGGATAACGAAGTAAGAGAATACACTACTACATATCATTTCGAAAGGACGTGTTGACTGTGGCAAAAGGTTTAATATCTCAGACCCCTGGAAACCATGAGCATTGCCAAGCTCCAGAAACGTTGACAAAATAAGAATGAGTAAATAAACCGCAATAAAGCTGA